CTGTCCCGGGACATGGTACCGAGTAAGCAGAGTGAACCTTTCAGATTTGGTGGAGAAGAACAGAGTACAGAGGAGAGTAAGGAGGGGCAGCGAGACGTGGGCAGAGGACCAGGAGGGTGTGGTGTGACCGAGCTCAAGGGAAGAAAGGGGGTCCACGGAGGGAGGGATTCAGAGAGCAAATGGCGAGGTGAGGGCAGTCCGGTAGGACCCAAGGGCATACTTTGGGTTTACTCCCAACGAGTTCGTTGATGACCTCGACAAGGAGAGTCATGTGAGGTGACGGGGGGAGGTGGACAGCAGGCAGAGTGGACTGAGGCTTTCGGGGGAGACACCTTGGAAATACACATCTGAGTCCGCATGGGGGAGAGGCTCAGGGCAGTGGCTGGAAGGGTGAAGGGTGAGGCAGAGGGAGGGCCTGTTGGCATGGATGATGGTGTAGGGGATGTGTTCTTCTTTTAATGAGAGAGACCTGTGCATAAAAATACCAACGGGAAAGAGACAGGGGAGTGATGGAGGGAGAGAGGAAGTGAGAAGAGAAAGAGAAACCAGTATGGACTGGAATCACGTCCAGTCTTCCAGGCAGACTGGAAACGATTTGAATCTCTTCAACCCTATGAGACTAACTGACTAATTCAGCAATGATTGAGTGCCTACTGTGTGCCAGGCACTCTTTCGGGATCTCCAGATACAACAGTGAACGGGATAGATAAAAATCTGGAGCTTACCTTCTATCTGGGGTGGGAAGAGCAGACAGACAATACACGCGTCAGGAGAGGATCAATACTAAGGAAGAAACAAACAGGCTAAAGGGAGAGAGTGACAAGAGGGGGTGTTTTTTATACAGGGTGGTCAGTCCTGGGGGAGGGGAAGTCCCTTCTTCCATAGTGACAGGGAAGGAAGGAGGAAAGGAAGGCTGAGACACTGCTTAGTTTGTGTCTGGAATAGGCTCAGCATAAGCACAAGGTCTGGACAACACGTTTTAACCCTAAATTGTTCCAATCAAATAACACATTTCCATCAAGCATGTACAATGGAGCCAGGTGCCTTGTGGGTACCAAGGAGATAAATATGAATCAAACACACCCTGCCCTGGAAGAGCTTGCTGTTACATGGGAGAGACAGATCTGGAAACAGACCATAATGATGCAGGGTGTTAAATGTAATAACATAGGGCAGGTTGTTCAAGCAGCAGTGAGATCATGGTAGAGGCAAGGAGGCCTTCCTGGGCAGTGGAGGCAGCTTCACAGAGGCGATGACATTTAGCTGGGTCTTGAAGAATGAGTAGGAGTTTGCCAGGTCAGAGCTTCAGCTGGAAAGGAACTTACATCTATAAGGTGTCTACTAGGTGCCAGGCAATTTACATATAGGATCTCATTTAATTCCCAGAAAAATCCAGCATGGTGGGGATCATGCATATTGACTGTTGTGTCTACTGAGGCTCAGAGAAGCTAAGAGACTTGCCAAGGTCATACAGGTGTTAGAGCTGGGTTTCAAGAGATGGTTGTTATTACTCTCAAACTTATTATTTCTCCAAACACCAAGCCACCATAATAACTTGATGGACCAGTGTTTGCAAAGGCACCAAGCAGAGCAGGAGAATGCCATGCTTAGGACCAGCTGGGAAGTGGCTCTTTTCCCATCATGCCATGTGCATGAAGGAGACAGAAAACAGTGCATGTAAGTGGTTGTAGCTTTTGGAGGAGACAGATTAACAGTTTTGTTTTTTCTTTCAACATTATGAGACTGTTATCCCATTGTCTTTTGACTTCCATTATTTCGGGTAAGAAGTTATCTGTAAGTCTTATTGTTATTCCCCAGAATATGGTGTTTGTTTTCTATGTCTGCTTTTAAGATTTTATTTTATTTTATTTTATTTTATTTCATTTCATTATTTTATTTTATTTTATTTTCCACCACGTGGCATGCGGGATCTTAGTTCCCTGACCAGGGATCGAATCTGTGCACCCTGCTGTGGAAGCATGGAGTGTTAACCACCAGACCGCCAGGGAAGTCCCAAGATTTTATTTTAATCATGAGTTTTCAGCAGCTTGGTAGGCAGCCTCTGAGAAGACCCCCAATGATCCCTGCTTCCTGGTATTCCCACCCTTGTGTGGTCCCCTCCCATTGAGTGTGGGCTGGACCTTCTGACTTGCTTCTGATTGAACACAGTGAAGTTGATGGTATCTTCCGGTAACCTGTGTAGCTTCCATCTCAGGTGTTCTGCGGAAAGTCAGCTGCTGTGTTGCGAGTGGCCCTGCATAGCGTTCACATCTTGTGAGGAATGTGGCCTGCAAGAAGCCATATGAGTGACTTGGAAACAGATCCGTCCCCCAGTCAAACCTTCACATCAGACCGTGGCCCCAGCTAACAGCTTGGTGGCAACCTTGTCAGAGACCTTGAACCAGAGGCACCCAGTTGAGCTGTGCTAGATTGCTGACCCACTAAAACTGTGAGATAATACTTATAAGTTGTTTTAAGTCTCTAGGTTTTGGGGTAATATGTTATGTAGCGATACATGACCAGTGCGGCAGCCCTGTGGGCTTTCAGTGCCTTGGTGAACTCACATCACATCCTAACCTGGACTTGGATTTCCCACAGGTGCCCAGTTGCCATAGATGATATGTGCTCCCTCTAGGCTCCGGAATCTAGGAAGACTGCATCAAAGGTGTCATGGAAATGCACCTTACCTTGTGACATAAATAGTTTGTAATTAACTTTCTTCCTCAAGAGATGTGTTACTGGAAGGATCTGGAAGAGATCTCTGGTCACTAACCCTACCTCATAGCCCTTCACAGTATCAAACTAGGTCAGGAACTTCTACAAAGAGTGTTGGCCCAGCTCTTGGATCAATAAACCTTGATTTATTTTCCCATCAAATGAACACTCTCTTTACATCAGAAGGGCTGTGGTGGCAAAGAGGGATTGGACTTATTTTCTGAGGTTCAAGAGGTCCCAAAATTTCAGTTTTATATAGGGAAAAACTTTCTACTAGTCAGAGCTGTGCAATTGTACCCTGACTCGTTTAATGGGTGGTGAGTTTCTTGTTAGTGGACATAAGCCCAAACAGGATGACCACTGATGAGGAAGGATGGTCAGGCTGAGTTTATTAATTTGACAAACGTTTCTTGAATGTCTATACACTTCAGTTAGGAATTCTGTAAGTAACACAAAAATTGACTAACAGTGGCTTACATCAATAAGGTTTTTGTCTTTCCTACCTAATAGAGAATCTGGAGGTAGATGATTCCTGGTCTTGATTCAGTGGCTCAGGGGTAGGAGAGTCAGAATCTCTCTGATTCTGACTTTTCCTTATCATTGTGAGATGGCTGCTACAGCTCCAGACATCACATGTGTGTTCAAGGTACTAATCCCTGCTGCTTAGAAAAAGCTGTATCTATTCCTTTCCTGGCGGAGAAAAATCTTCCCTAGAAGATGTGCTGGTAAATCTTCAATTACCAGCATTCTAGGGGATGGAAGGAAGGAAGAAAGTCCTGACTTGTACCAATCACCAATTTCTGTGGTATAAATTCTCCTACCACATCTGATTTCAAGCTACCAACATGACATTGCTCGCTGCGGGTATGGGAAGAGATGACTGTAGCACACCATCATATACTATTTCTATCGTACAGTTATGATAGATGTAAAATCCTCAGTGGCATAGATCATTGTAAACTGCAGTGAAATAATTAGGAAGGAAGGAATTTTCAGTATTTATTACCTTTGCTTTTAATATGATTTTCATCGTAAGTTTATATAATTTAATTTTTGGGTAATGATTGGGTTTAACAACTGGCTTGCAAAATTCCTAAACAATGAGCAATTGGCTCTCATGGTCTGGTCCACATTGGCTCCAGGCCACCACTGCTGAAAACATTTCTTCCAACTTCCCCTGTGTCTCACTGGCCAGGACAATAACACATGGCCACCTTGGGCTATAAGGGAGGTTAGGAAGGCAGAAAACTATTTGAGTGTCTCTGATGGACTATGCCCAGGGAAAAGGGGGCTGGGAAGGACAGTAGGGCCAGCCGACCCACTGATGGGTTAGTCTACCTTTGACCAATTGCCTTAGAAGAAAACTGTGAGGTCATTTGAAGCACAACACACTCCATTTCTGTTCTCGTGGGGCTTTCATGCTGGTGGCAAGAGAGCAATGCTGAACAAATTAGTAGAATCGTGATGAATGCCAGAAAGAAGTACAGGGGGCTGTGAATGTATGTATTGGGGAGGGGACCCAGTCTTAGTTTTTTATTGTTTCATAACAAATAACCACAAATATAGCAGCTTCATGTAACACACATTTCTTAATTCAGTTTCTGTGGGTTGGAGTGTAGCCCATGTTAGCTGGGTCCTCTGCTCAGGGCTCACTCAGTGTTTTGTCTGGGCTGCATCCTCACCTGGAGGCTTGACTGGGGAAGAGTCCTGCCAAGCTCCTTTAGGTTGGTTCCAGATGTCGCTTCTGCAGGCCTGCCTGACCGGGGGCCCAGCTCTTTGCTGGCTGTCAGCTGGAGGCGATGCTCAGGTCCTACAACCATCCGCAGGTGACTTCTCCAAAGCCTGTAAGTAGAACCTCTCCTTATAGTCTAAGACAAATTCTTTTTTTTAATTAATTTTTATCGGAATATAGTTGATTTCCAATGTTGTGTTAGTTCTGCTGTACAGCAAAGTGAATCAGTTGTACATTCACATATATCAACTCTTTTTTTAGCTTCTTTCCCCAAATCGGTCATTACCGAGTACTGAGTAGAGTTCCCTGTGCTATACAGGAGGTACTTATTAGTTACCTATTTTATACATAGTAGAGTGTATATGTCAATCTCAATCTCCCAATGTATCCCTCCCCCCACTTACCCCTGGCAACCATAGTTTGTTTTCTACATTTGTAACTCTGTTTTGTAGATAAGTTCATTTGTACCCTTTAAGATGAATTCTTATGTAATGTAATGTGACCCGGGGAGTGACAATTCATCACCTCTGTCACCTGTATTGGCCAGAAGGTGTCACAGGTTCTGCCTGCACCCAAGAGGGGGAGATCATACAGGGGTGTGACTCATTGGGGGTCACCTCAGGGTGTGTCTGCCATGGTTGTACTTGGCGCAGAGGTGGCTACAAAGCCTTCCTGGGGAAATTGACACTGAAGGTGAGACATTGACGGGTCAGTGGGAGTTGGCCAGGTAGAGGGAGAAAAGTGTGTCAGGCAGAGGGCAGCATGAGCAAAGAGGTCTGGGACTGGGTGCTGTCCTTCGCAGTAACTACTTCCCTTTCTGAGATTTTTTGTTCCTGATCTCTGAGTACATCCCCCAAACGTGGGGCCTGGCTGAAGGGGCATAGGGAAGTTTCTTATCTCCAGGGAGGAATTTGGCAAATCAGACTGGAAACCGGGCTTTCAGTGGTGTGCGTGTGCGCGCGCGCGTGTGAGTGTGTGTGTGTGTGTGTGTGTGTGTGTGTGTGTGTGTGTGTGTGTAGGGAGATGGGGATAGGGTCTGCCCCAGTCACTGTCAAGACCTTATCCATGCATCCGTTCCTTCTACCAGCAGCCCTGAGTGCCTTCAGGGTGCCAGGCTCTGTTCTGCACAAGAAATGACTCAGACCCCTGCCTTGTCCTAGAGGTCACACTTCACTGGAGGTGGGAGGAAACCACTCATAGGGAAAGCTCCAGCTGGGGCTGTAACTAAGGTGGCCACGGATGCATGGGGATGCAGAGAAGGCAGGCCTGGCGGGTGGGGGGTGGGGGAAGAACGTAGTCCAGGAGGATTTCAGGTTTCAAACTGAGCACCTGGGCGGATGGTGAGGCCATTTACTGAGAAAGAAGAACGTGGAGGGGCAGGTGGGGGGCATTGAGTAAAGCACTTTGTTTTGATGGTGAGACATTTGAGATGCCTCCTGGGCGTCCAGCTGCGTAGGCAGGGGAGGTCAGGGCTGGAGATACAGAGCTGGCAGTCACCGCAGCCTGTGGATGGTTGAAAGCCTGGGAGAGCCTGAGATTCTCGGTAGGAGGGTCCATGCCCGAGCCATGGGCCACCCTAACACCCCAGCACCGAGAGGTTGGGCAGAGAAGGGGTGTATCCTGGAGACTCCCGGAGGAGCCGCTAGTGATGGGGAGGAAAACTGGGAATGCGGGGTCACACGACGCCCAAAGATCAAAAAGACGGCGAGGACAGAGGTTTTATGGTTGATTGGTACTTGGATATACGGGGGGTGACAGGTGGGGAGAGGGGAGCATTGCAGATGCGGAACAGCGTAGTCACAAAAGCTTTGAGGTAGGAAAGGGAAACAGCTCTGCTCTGCGCTGCTTTATCGTGGGTTATAGTAACTCCGAGAAATCTCTGGTCCTGCCTGGCGGAGCTCCTTAAGGGAGGGCCAAGTTTGCCTCTACTCCACTCCGACCGCACACCTTACGGGCTGCGAAAATGTTTGTTTAATGAATAAAAGATGAACGAGTGAATGGGACTTTGTGACGTGGGGGGCAGGTGGTCTCGCTCCTTGGGCCTCAGTTTCCCATTCTGTAAAGCAGGCCAATCCGATAAACTTGAGTTCCGGGTTTGGGATGAGCACGGCTTGCTGAGCGGATTCCAAGTGGACTTTACGCCCGGCCTCCCCGGGTCGGACCGGGTTGGACCGCGAATCCGGTCGCTCTCGGTCCGGCCCCCGCGGGACCCAGCAGCCCAGCCCTGGAACGGCCCCGCCCCACCTCCCTTTGTTTCTACAGGCCCCGCCCTCGGCGCTCAGCTCCCTCTCCATTGGTTGGGGGGCGGGCCCCGAGCGCCGGGCGCCGCCGGGGGCGGGGCGGAGGGGCGCGGGTGGGGCGAGTGCGCCTGCGCGTTGCCTGAGCCCAGTTGCAACCTCTCGCCGGCAGCTGCTCCTCGCGGAGCGGGAGACGGAGCCGGACCCTGAGCGCAGAACGGGCTGAGACGGCTGCGAGGCGGCCCCGCCCCGGGGCTCCATTGTTGCGGCGACTCCGGCTCTGCGGGCTGCTCGGCTCCGTCTCGCTCGGCCAGGGCACCTCCGGCAAGGAGTGAGTGCTGCCCGGGAGGCGGCCTGAGGTGAGGCGGCGGGCGGCGGGGCCGGGCCGGGCGGGGGTCCCCGGCGGACATGGGTTCCGGGGCTGGGAGAGGGTCCCACGGCCGGGCGGAGGTCCCGGGGCCGGACGGGGTCCCAGGGGGCAGGGGTTCCAGCCGGGCGGGGGGGGTCCTCGGGAGGCAGGGGTCCCGGAGCCGGGCGAGGTTCTGGGCCGGACAGGGGTCCCAGGCCGGGCGGGGGACTCAGGCGACAGGGGTCCCAGGCCGGGCGGGGGTCCCCGAGAGGACTGAGGTCCGCGAGCCGGACGAGGTTGCCGGGCGGAGGTCCCGGGGCTGGACGGGGGTCCCAGGCGGCAGGGGTCCTGGGCCGAGCTGGGGTCCCCGCCGGGTGTGGCAGGTCCGAGAGGGGCGCCGCGAGGTCGCTACCCGAGCTGGCGGCCGCCGCCCTGAGCGACTGTGGGACGGGGACGCAGAGGGGGACTGACCGGGCCGTCGCGCGTCTGGGCGCCGGGCATGGTCTCGGCCTCGGGGTGGCACCGAGGGGGCACCGCGCCTGCCGCGACTCCGCGTGGATCCGCGCGTGAAGCCCCGCGCGGGGTCCTGGTGACCCTGAGGGTGGGGGACTGTCTCGGTCCCCACTCACTCCGTGGAGTGGCTGGTTCGCTGTGTCACCGAAGGTAGCTCTGCGTGGGCCCTCGCGCGTGGGGATCCCGGACATCCTGAGAGTGGGAGACTGTCTCTGTCCCCCCTCCCCTTCACCCCTGGTGTGACTGGTTCGCTGTGTCTCCTTGAGGGTGACCGCGTGGACCCTCGATTGTAGGGATCCTGGGCACTCTGAGAGTGGGGCCTTTTCTCGCTCCCCACCCCCATGACTGGTTCACTGAGTGTGTGTGTGTCACTGAGGGTGGCTCTGCGTGGACCCGCGCGCGCGGCGTCCTGGCCACCCTGCGAGTTGGAGGGCTGTGCCCCGTCCCCTCCCCCCGCATCTCGTCGGGGTGTGATCAATACCGGGGGCAGGCTCCCCTCTGCCCCACGCGTGCGTGCGTGTGTGTTGGGGGTTTCATGTGTTTCGGGGTGTCTTTGTGCGGGTAGTGGCGCCCGTCGGGCTGTAGCCGGCTGTGCGTGGGGCACGCAGATGGCCTGCGTCTGACAGCTGACCCGCTATTTTATTTATTGCCTTATTTGCCACTTGAGCAGAAGCGGCTGCACTTCCCCGGGAACCCGCTCCTCTAGCCGGCCCGGTCCCCGGGGAGCGCGGGGCTGTCACCGCGCCTGGGGACCGCGAGTCAGGCCGCCGCGTTTCCTGCTCAGGCGCGAGGCTTGGCCGGCCCGGCGGGAGCCGGCTCTGATTGGAGGGAGCCTGGTCCCTCTGCCCGGCGCTTCTTGATTTCTTCCGTTAGGATTGGGGGGAAAAAAAAAAAAAAAGGTCTGGAAAGCCAGATTTAACTTTGCAGCTCTCTCAGCGCCTGGAGAGTGGAGGAAACTTTCCCAAGAATTTGGCGGGCTGGAAAGTGCGTTTGAAGGAGGGGAATCCACACCCACGGAATGAGGCCAAGGCAGTTACAGTTAGAGGTCAGGTTTACAGAAGGAATAGCAGGGGTGAGGTTGTGGATCGGGAGACTTGGATTTCAGCCTGATGGCAAGAAGATCTGCTACTACCCTGCAGGCTGTGTGTCTCTCAGCCACTTAAATAAACTGGGGTCACTCACTTACCCTTTTATCAAACGTATGAAAACACCTATTATGTTCCAGGGATGATTCTTTTCCCTGGGGAGCGCGAAGTCGAACAAGCCTTGTTAGACTTGCAAGTCTAACAAGACTCTGAAAAGTCTTTTCCTTTCCAGAGTGTTCTGGTCCAAGACAGAAAACTGAGCTGTAAGCACAAGTCGCTCTAATGCCCAAATGGAAATTCTTTGTGAACAAGATGGTGTATAAATAACAGGCATGCAAGATGAAAATGTGGTCCTAGCTGCAGCTGTCGCTGTTATGAAGTCCAGACAGCCTGCAGGCCCTTCGCTCTGACTTCTCTGCCCTCTCTCTCTCTTCCATCGGCCCTACGCCCGGCTCCAGGCTTTCACCCATTCTTACCGTCTCAGTTTAGGTGACTTCTTTCTGAAGTCTTCCCTGACGTCCTCATGCCCAGCCCTCTGAGAGCTGTGGTCTTCAAGGACAGGGTGGTTTGCTGTAGTACCCAGAGAGGAAGAGGTGTATCAAAATGAGAGGTCCTCCTAAATGAGAGGTCCTTTTTCCGTACCACGGAGCCAAGTCTTTCCTGTGATTTAAAATCTGCAATTCTTCAATTCTCCTCAGGGTTTTTAGATTAACATTTGCTGTAACTTCCTAGTGTTTGTTGTACAGTGTAGAGTACTTGATTCGAATTTATTTGGTCTGATTCTGGCTCTGGAATAAAGTTGCCATTTGTTCCTGCAGAACCACTAGGCTTCAGTTTCCTCACCTTTGAGGTTTTTAAACTAGGTAAGAACCTTGTCAGCCCTAAACCTTTAAATTCTTTCAACCAAATAAAGCAGAGGAAAGTTCTCTTAGTGGCAGTTGTATAAATAATGGGGATCTTTGAAAATGTAGATTCTAAAGTAGAAGTTCTTTTTCCTTCTTTCCCTTTTTTTTTTTCTTTCCACAGTTGCATGGGTGTATACTTTGTCTCAGAGTTGAAGGAGCAGGGCTATGATGGAAGCTTAGGCAACTATTTTTTTAAAATAAATTTATTTATTTATTTTTTGGCTGCGTTGGGTCTTCATTGCTACGTGCAGGCTTTCTCTAGTTGCGGCGAGCGGGGACTACTCTTCGTTGCGGTGGGTGGGCTTCTCGTTGTGGTGACTTCTCTTTGTTGTGGAGCACAGGCTCTTGGCGTGCAGGCTTCAGTAGTTGTGGCGCATGGGCTCAGTAGTTGTGGCACGCAGGCTCAGTAGTTGTGGCTCGTGGGCACTAGAGCACAGGCTCAGTAGTTGTGGCACACAGGCTTCGTTGCCCCGCGGCATGTGAGATCTTCCCGGACCAGGGCTCAAACCCGTGTCCCCTGCATTGGCAGGTGGAGTCTTAACCACTGCGCCACCAGGGAAGGCCCTAGGCCACTTTTTGATATTGTCTTGCATCTTCTTCATAACCACATTTTGCTTGCAGCATCTGTGCTCTATCAAATTGGTTTGAAATTTTCCTTAATGAAATTGTTGGATGCAGAACTCTTGGCAGGAGCATTTTGCTGATCTTTTGAGTGTCATATGAAGTCGGCCAACTGCAGGCTTCTCTTATGCCGCAGTCTCTAACAGAGATTTTAATGCGGAGACTCTGAAATAAGTGAATTTTGGCAGTACCTTGAGTAAGTGTATGTGGCTTTGTATAATGGTTTCAAGCATAGTTTAAAATTATTACTTGCAAAAATTTACATATGTTAAATGACCTATAAGGAAGCTGTACTTCTAAGGACTCTAGTAATAAATCCTGCAAAATATTAATCTCCCAATTCATCTGTTTGGCAAGATGGGAATTTGGTGTGCTCGGTTATTTTAAAGCCACACGTCTGTCAAAAGGATACAGGATTTTCTCTGCTATTCTTTGTTTGTTTGTTTGTTTTTCGGCTGCGCTGCACAGCTTGTGGGATCTTAGTTCCCCAACCAGGGATTGAACCCGGGCCCTCGGCAGCGAGAGCACAGAGTCGTAACCACTGGAGCTCCAGGGAATTCCCTCTCTGCTATTCTTATTTGGATCATTACAGGGATTAAACATAGACGGTAGCTGTTTGGTCAAGGAGTGATGCCATCAAATTATATTTTCATGTTAGGTAGGATTTTTGTCCTTGTTTTGATTTGTGGTCTTTAATTAATTTTAAAAAAGCGCTCTGTTACATACTCCATGCGGTTTGTTCTGTTAGGGACCTTATTTTTTGGGAGGGGTCTTCAGAAACACAAATGGATCTTCTTTGTGGTTTCCTTAGATTGTCTTTTTTCTTTGAATTTTTCCTTAGATTGTCTTAATGTTTTCACTGAAAACTAGTTAATACTTGTTCTGCAAGAAGGCCTGATTTTTATATGGATTAAATGAAAAGGGTGTTTCATGGAAGAGAATGCCTGGGGATGGAGAAGATAGCATTTGAGCTCTGCTTTTCCGTGTTGTTCCTCTTGTTCTTTACTGGAGGAAGAGGGTTAACCAGTTCTTCCCTGGTGGCCTAATCAGAGCACTGAATCCACCCCACCTTAAAGAACCGATGGTGCTTTCGCCATTGTTTAGATGATGATATTCTATACATCATCTTGTTTAAGCATTGTTTGCCTAGAACTACAGTGATAAATTTTTTTCTTAGACTATAAATCTAAGTCTTTGCTGTTACTTCCCCCCCATCCCACATCACCTACCAAATTTTTTTTTTTTAATTAATTAATTAATTAATTTTTGGCTGCGTTGGGTCTTCGTTGCTGCCTGCGGGTTTTCTCTAGTTGCGGCGAGTGGGGGCTACTCTTTGTTGTGGTGTGCGGGCTTCTCATCGCGGTGGCTTCTCTTGTTGTGGAGCACAGGCTCTAGGCACGCGGGCTCAATAGTTGTGGCACGAGGGTTCAGTAGTTGTGGCTCGTGGGCTCTAGAGCGCAGGCTCAGTAGTTGTGGCGCACGGGCTTAGTTGCTCCGCGGCATGTGGGATCTTCCTGGGCCAGGGCTCGAACCCATGTCCCCTGCATTGGCAGGCGGATTCTTTTTTTTTTTTTTTTTTGGGCAGGCGGATTCTTAACCACTGTGCCACCAGGGAAGCCCTACCAAATGGTTTTTTCTTCTTTCTTTTCCATTTTAAAGATCTTATCATGTACGTGTCTATCATTGCTGGCTACATCAAAACCGTTTTGAATGTTGACAGGATGTAATATGAATAGTGTAGTAAAGATAACTTACTCCTGTTCTTTTGCACAGGAAAGCTGGCCCCAGTAAGGCTTTTGTTAAGTCCAAGTACTTCTCTGAACTGCAGTTCCCGCACTTGTAAAATGGAGTTAATCGTTGGTAGTACCTGCTCTATCTAGCTCAAGAGATTGTTCTGATAAAATGAAATCATGAATGTAACGTAATTTTGTAAGTTGTAAAATATTATGTTGTCAAGGATTTAAAAAAAGTGCTTCATTAAGAATGTAATGAACCTGGGTTTTTTAAAACTCCACATGTTTAATGTACAGATGATCCTTAACTTGAAGGGTGTCAGGCAACTTCATTTAGGATCGTTTTCTGTCTTTCATTGGCCCGTGTTGTTTGATATCTTAGCCTTTTGGGGGAACATCAAATTCAAGTTTCAGAGACGTTAATCTTTTGTAAGTAAGGTTACTGAATGTGCAGAAATGTAGCCTTTAACAGTCTGTCTCATACGTTTGTTCCTATGAACCTTTCTTTAATGAAGCATAATTGCTGGGCACTTCAGTTCCTAAGTGCCCTGTCTTGAGGGCTGGCCTGTTCACCTCTGAAACTTCCAGCAGAGTGAGCAGCAGGCATCAGGGTGAACCTGACCTCAGCACCACAGTGTCCTTGGCCTTCTGTCCTCAAGCCACCTTGGAAACTGCAGTGCACTTTATACTTTAGATGCAGATGGTACGTTGCACCGTCACATAGTTTGACAGCCATTCAGATAGATTACCCGTGATGCGCCCGAGTATGGGCTACATGCAGAGATTCGAAGGTGGGACCCAGTCCTCACCGGAGAATCGCTGGAGGCTCACAGTGTAGCGGGAGAAGCAGACCTGGTATCACTCAATGCGGGTGGAAGGTGCTGCTAGGGGTACGCAGGAGAGTTTGGGAGCCGGGTTGGTTCACACAATCCAGCATTTATTCTCCTCCGTGGCACTTAGAGTTTGTCAGGCAGTGACAGGCTTATAAATGAACGGAAG